TTGAAATTAATTTGACAACGTTTGGATAAACAATGTTCAATATTTAAATGATGTTTTTGTCTGACATACGTAGATGGGAATGCAATCCGACCAAGAAACGGAAAAGAAGGCATTTCTAGATGTCCCATTGTATTGTATACTCATCTTGACTAGATAGAAAGTGCGGCTTGCCGCACCCCGCACCCCTGCCGGGTGCGGTCATATCCAACCCAGCAACCATCCAACACAGTAGGTCACGCTTCAAATTTGATAGATTGACATCATACCAAAAGCAATGAAGAATTGCAGCATATAATAACCTTATTTACAATGCAGTGACATTATATCCAACTTGGTAGAACACGATTCATATTTGATTCAGGCTGTTACCTGAATAGCAAAGCACGATAGCAACACCCACCCAGTCCACTACTGGTTACATCATATATATTCCACAGATTGAAGGAAATATAGACCATTGATTCCATCATTAGAATTTCTCAAAGAAAGTATAGGAGGAACTAAGCACTAATAGGAGTAATAGTTTGGTTAATTAATTACATCACTTTGAACATGTCATAGAAAATGTCACATGATATACCAAAAGCAAATCCTAATGGTTTTCAAGAACATACACACACATAGATGGAATGGCAGAAGAACAACCCAAAAACCTGAAGGGCTATGACATGTTATGTACGGCAAAAGAACTGAAAATCCTGAAGACATGGTATAAAAATATGACAAAACACCACCACATCAATGTCAAGCAAAAAGCAAAATTGTTTCTTAATAGTATATGATACTCCCTCCGTTCCGAAGTATTTGTCTTTCTAGCCATTTCAAATGGACACAACATGCGGATGTATGTAGACTTATTTCAGAGTGTAGATTCACTCATTTTGCCTCGTATGTAGTCACTTGTTGAAATCTCTAGAAAGACAAATATTTAGGAACGGAGGGAGTACTATATAAAATATCTATAATCAGATATAGTTAAAAGAAGTACCGGAGTATGCTACTGGAGTACTGAAAATCCTACATTTCATTCAAATCAAGCCCAAACCCCCACAAAAATCTCATCTTTTCTGCTAAGTACTTCGATCTGGACGTCTCAGCCAGCGGGGATCTCCTTGCTCTAGACGCACTTCCTCGCCGGCCTCTTCTCATCCTTGCTGGCTTCCTCGGTGCCCCACTTGGTTTTAGCCTTGCCGGCAGCGACGGGCTTGGACTTGGCCTCCCACTTTCACTTGAGATCGAAGCCGTCGTCGTTGGGGGAGGCGAGCTCCGCCTCCCACTTAAGCGCCTGGCCCCCACCGTGCACCTTCTCCTTGGTCATCCACTTCCAATTGCGACCCCCGGGGAGGCGGCAGCTTAGGTGTACTTGCGGCAGGCCGGATGCGGCCCTCTGGGGAGCTGGCGGCCCAGGCAGAGAGGGCCGTGACCTAATCTTCTGGATAGACCAGTGTGCATACATGATTGTGCATGATAGAACTCTGTAAGCATGCACTTACAATTAAAGTACCTGTGACACAATCAGAATAAACTGTCGTAGAGCAATGTATCAAAATAAGGGGAAAATGCAAACTGATTAAAGGCTAAAGATACAGAATGATTCAGGGCTAAAACTGATTGAAGGCTACAATAGGAATAAAATGTTGCAAAGAAATGAACCAAAATAAGAGCAATGAAGTTCAGATAGCAGGACCACTGACTGGCACAGTGCACTAGTGAGAATGTGAGCTAAATGATAATAGAAATGATATGATTATTTTAGATGAGGAAGTGCACAAATGAATGCTTGTTGTTTAGTTAAACACATGCATGGCAGTATCCTATATTTCTATTTACCTTCAGCCCTTACTTTTCTATATTTTCTCTTCAATCAATATAAACTTTAAGCCTGATAGCATATTCTACCATCCAATTGGCTTGTTGAGCTTGAATACTCCATATGCATTTGGGCCGGTTTTTCTATATACTGCTCGACTAAAACTATTGAACGATTCTGTTCATACATGTCCCTTTTTTGTTCATACATGTGTACTGCTCGACTAACAATATTAAACGATTTTGCTAATACAGGTTTTCTTATCTCTTCATACATGTTAAGAAAGAAAGTGACATGTGTGCCTAATTATATCCTTGATATTTATTTAGATCGCCTGGGAGACCTATATTGGATGACAGAGAAGTATGCTACAGATAATTCAAGTAATTTTTATATCTTAGAAAATAAAGTGACATGCATTTTATAAAAGGGTTTGAACCGTAGTTTTTCCTCCTTTTCTCAAGTAGACACAAAAGTTGAAAATATAGGACCAAATGTTGGATAAACACAGGACATACATGGTTCACAGAGTATGAAACTTTCCAGGCATTCCTTTAGTTGAGCCTCACTGCACCCTTGTTTTTACAAACATTCGAGGAGAGAATTTCTATTGGAAATCAATGCCCAACAATGGTGGTACCAGTTAATGTAGCTGTAGGTAGAGATTATTTTCTCCAACTAAATCACACAAACAACACCCTGTAGAACGGACTATATAATATCTAGAGCATTTGACAACACTCGTATGAGTTAATAAAATTCTGGAGCATTTGACAACACCTGAATGAGTAACAAAAATCTTCCTTCGCAGGCCACCATATAGAGAAAGGAAGGAACCTGTAACCTGTAGGTAGAGGTGCGAGCAGTAGCCCATGCTCCCAATGTCAATGCCAGGTACTGTATGACTTTCTTTTCTTTCATATGAACTGAATTTCTGTTAAAACATTGGCAGTTCATATCAGCCTCCTACCTTGAAACAAAAAATTAAAATAGACGTCGAAGACATATTTCAGCAATCGGTACTCCACCGTAATAATAATAGCATGCACTTGCTAGCAAAATATGAACAACTCTTATTGATTTGCATTCTTATAGTTCCCCTATTCAAGATTAAAAATAAACAAATATGATGGAAAACAGTATTACATGACAGGAAATAACTACAGTTCTAATCCTGGAGAGGCAGAACCCAAATTCGCTCGGTCAAATCTGGGAAGATGGAGCTCACCGAGGGAGGTTATAGCCAAGGCAGTACTCAGTGTGCGCCGGGGTTGCACCTGAATGCCGTCCAACCGGCGAGGAACCGCGTCGGAGTTGCGCCTTGCACCGTCCCGCCGACGAGCACGAACGCATCAAACAACCAAGTGACTCTGTGCACGGAATACATGTCAAACAATATAAACAATCAGATATGCCATCACAACAGTCGACTAAACATCTAGTAAAAACAGAACAATGTAAGATCCACACTCACCTAAAATGAACCGGGGCATGCCTATATGTGCTCCATTCAAATGCTTAACGCTACACAGATCAGGATGGCAAGGAACAAATCAGGTAGAAATCAACTCACCCACATCACCAAACAAACAAAACACCAAAAGATGACGCATGACTACAAAACACCAAACCAATTAGCAAGAAGTAAAAAAAAGTCTTACGACAAGAGAAAAGTATTATGCATAACATTTCAAGGAAGAAACACGATAAATGGTTAAATGCACATTTCTATATTAAATCCATCTTCCATTGGATAAGAAAAACTCATCTTCAAGATAGTAATGGTACTGAGCTAAAGAGATGGAAGCATGAAACGAATTGAAAACCAGGGAAATAGAAAATTTGATACATGCTTTCTCTCACAGCAATGCCCAGAATCATTGAACAGTAGAACTATTGCATATGAAGTACTGCAGAAATAAGCACATAATATTGGGGAATTGCCCCTGTTTCTTTACCACTACAAAACAGGAAGGACATAAGATATTTTGACAATGGCATATTAAAAACTTCTCTACATTATGGAGGAACAATCAGGCAAGCTAGATCAGTTGTGAAAATAGGAGAGACAAGCTATATGATAAAAGGAGCCAATAGTTTCTTGGCATACTTTAATATCCCAAGAGCTTCTTTATCATCATAACAACAGAAGTTACTTAATCTTTTGATCTAATAGCTTTAGAAATAGTTGGAAGTGTGTTTCTTCTAAGGCGGTCAGCAAATTGGACCCTCACAAAAGATCTAACATAGCAGAGATGAAAACTAATGAACTGAAGATAACCTCAATGAGGACCTATGAACCGCTCGATGGTCATGGAGGCAAACTATCATGTACAGATAATCGCTAACGTTTGCCTTGAGTATAAGTAGGACATCTGTACCAACCTCAAGTCCTATTTTCAGGGGAAATTTCTTGCATCCATGCTTGTTCGTCATACTCAGTCCTAGTAAAGCTCTGCTCACCAAACCGTAGTCCCACCGGTCATCCTTTGGTATTCTCTGGATGACCACAGATTACACCCAAAAAAGAGTGAGTGTTATGATCCCAGATATAAAAATTGCACAAGGACAAAAAGGAGAACTGGAAAAAAAATGCATCCCATAGAGCGACATAGATCTAAAAATAGTGCATGAAACTGAACCTAAGGTGAAAACCGGACCATGTTCATGAAACATTAAATAAAATCTAGTGAACGAAGAACTTAGTGTTCACTTCTGAAACTAAGCACGAACATTATGAATATACGTACAAAAAAAGAGGGGGAAATAATGACTATACAAGGACTGGAAAGGTTACAGGAGTAGAGATTATAATTATCTAAACATCAAATGTGAATGGTCAAGAAGAGTCAAACCAAAAATCACAAGGTAACATATAAATGAAGCAAATGAAAGGCATGAACTTTTTTCCATCAGGGGCAAGAGCTTGAAGCAAAGGACTCTGGCCAAATCCAGAAGAGAAGTAATGGAATAAATAAAGTAGCTCCGGAAAATAAATTGCTTCATGGCGTTCAGGAAAGAGATACAAACAATGGTTGAATTAAGTTGGGATATTGAGCAATATTGACAGACTTAGACGACAATCTTCTACCTCTAAGATAGACTGAAGAACTGAAGATAAAGAAAGAGCGAATGAAACTGAAACAAAATACACACTTCAAAATTCTTTCAGATGTTCTGCAGATGCCATTTATAAAATCTTGAGCGTAAATAAAATTGTAGCTTCTCAACTCCAAGGTCCACCATAAACCAAAACTGTGGGTGGGCAAAGCGAACTTAAAAGTAACCTATGGCACGAACAACAGTTCAAAGAACAAAAAAAAGGATGTATATCTTACATGTATTAAAATTTTGCGTTCAGACCTATGGAAGCGACACTGCCAAAAAGTCACAGCGAACAACAGTCCCAAAATAAGGATGGAATGTATATTCAAAAAATTGGGCTCAGATCTGTGGAGATGGCATTGCCCAAAAGGTAGGCCAAAAATGAAGCAGCTAATATCTTTTGCAGACAGCTGTTTACTAATTCTAGTTCTGTTGAAACATTCATACATAATTGTGTACTGCTTTAATTATGAAATGGAAGTGCACCAAAAATAATAAATAGGGATAGGCCAATACATGGGCTCTTAATTCCATAGGAATTGCAAAATCCCAAAAAATCAATAGAATCATCATTTTATAAGCGCACAAGAGTTGTCTATTGCTGATCACATGCTACACTGATGAAATATGGATATGGATATTATCCACCACTCACTAACTGGCAAACTGGCACACACAAAATACACATCCATGAGGTAATGGCCCAATGGGCGTCAAAAACATCACCGGTCCATACCTGCACACGAATTGAGGAACAAAGCTTTTACCATAGTGAGAACATCTGCTATTGTTTTCAGTTATGTACAGAGCGTTTATCTCCCTGATGCTGGCCTTCCTTTCATGGGTGGACATTGTGGTGGTGCCGTCCACATAAACCTGCAGAAACAACGGAAGCAGAGGCTCAATATCTCTGCAATTAGTATGACACAAATTATGGAACGAAACCACAGACATGGCCACACAGACTGACAGATGGACAAGAGTATCCTGAGGAGGCCGACCGTGCCGGCGAGGCTGCAGTTGGTCCACTTCATGAGGAAGAGGAAGATGCGCATGGCGGGTGAGGGAGTCCCGGACTAGGGGGTGTCCGGATAGCCGAACTATCATCATCGGACGGACTCCAACACTATGAAGATACAAGATTGAAGACTTCGTCCCATGTCCGGATGGGACTTTCCTTGGCGTGGAAGGCAAGCTTGGCGATACGGATATGTATATCTCCTACCATTGTAACCGACTCTGTGTAACCCTAGCCCTCTCCAGTGTCTATATAAACTGGATGGCTTTAGTCTATAGGACGGACAACAATCATACCATAGGCTAGCTCCTAGGGTTTAGCCTCCTTGATCTCGTGGTAGATCTACTCTTGTAACCCACATCATCAATATTAATCAAGCAGAACGTAGGGTTTTACCTCCATCAAGAGGGCCCGAACCTAGGTAAAAACATCGTGTCCCTCGTCTCCTGTTACCATCCGCCTAGACGCACAGTTCGGGACCCCCTACCCGAGATCCGCCGGTTTTGACACCGACATTGGTGCTTTCATTGAGAGTTCCTCTGTGCCGTCGCGATCAGGAAGGATGCCTCTTCCCGTCTTTAAAGACGGCGCCGTCGTCAAGGGAGCTTTGGCCACCGGCCAAACTATCCGGCTAGGTGGTTTTCTTATGACCGCTTGTTCGGCCACCGCTCCGACGATGACCTCTCAGGTCATCAAAAGCGATCTTCGTTTCAGCTCGGAATTCGCCGAGCAGTTAGATCCGATTGAGCTCTCTTCTGTGAACGAGCTCTTCGATCTCATTGCCACCCTGGGAGTCGCTACAGACTATAATCAGATTAGGCTTAAAACCGATCTGAGAGAAATCAACTCTCCCCAGGCTACCCACCACGTTGTTGTGGTAGAGGAACAATGCGGCAACTCTTCTTCCACGCTAAAAACTAACTATGTCCGGATTCCCGACCTCTTCACGCTGGATTCCTGTGGAGGGACGGACGCTAGTCAAATACTGAACTTAGAGTCAGGCATCGAACTAGATTCGTTGGAAAGCACCCAGCAAATCAAGCTTCCAAATCTAGAAACTTCATGGCCTTTGACCCTCAGATCGGGCGGGGTTCCGAACTTGATTCCACCCACCCACCCAAACATAAGCGATCTATCTCGAATACGGCAAGAGCCCGATGAAACAGTACATCATTACTGGGCCAGATTCCTCCTGGTTATGAACAGGATAAAGGACTGCTGCGAAGAAAGCGCGATTTCAATTTTCTGCAACAATTGCGCGGACAAGGGAATCATGAACGCCATAAGTCGTCGCGACGTTATACGCTTCATCGATCTAGCGACCATCATACAAAAATACTGTGCGGTGGAGAGCGCCAGGAACACCGAAACTAGGTTTTGGGACAGTCCGGCCTTGACTACAACCCTAGTCCAAAATAAAAGGATGCGCCATACCCAAACACCTGGTTTAAAACCCAAAAAGCAAAAAACCCCTAAAGGGCATGGAACCATACTGGAGGGATGGCTCAACGGACCCTGCAAAATCCACCGTACGGAGGGCGCCACTCCAACACACAGCCTTCGAGCATGTTGGATATTACGGCAGGTGGCCAAAAGTGGCGAAGGCTTTTTAGCCCCGGGCAAACAGCCCAACAATACCGGTACGGTATTAACAGTCTTCGAGACTTTCGCATCAAATAACATGCGAAAATGAACAATCCGCAGCCTCGCCGAAGTCTACCAAGTAGCAACAGCAAATCCATGGAGTGACATGGCTATCACCTTCAATGCCAATGACGAACCTAAATTCCGGACGGCTAGAGCGCCAGCCGCATTGGTGCTCAGTCCGATAGTGGACGGCTTTCGCCTCACCAAGGTACTCATGGATGGCGGCAGCGGATTAAACCTCATCTATAAGGAAACCCTTCAAAAAATGGATATTGACTTGAGCCGCATTGCGCGAAGTAGCACAACCTTCAGAGGGATGATCCCTAGTCGAGAAGTACGCTGCACAGGAAAAATCACACTCGACATAGTGTTCGGCTCGCCGGACAATTACAGGTCCGAAGAGGTCACGTTTCAAGTGGCCCCATTCTACAGCGGATATCATGCCTTGTTAGGGCGAGAGGCATTCACAATCTTCCAAGCTATACCCCATTACGGGTACATGAAGCTTAAAATGCCCGACCCTAATGGAATCATCACTCTGGTCAGCGATCCAAATATTGCACTCCGCGCCGAGAATATGACAGCCGCATTAGCCCTAGAGGCACTATCCGAAGCCCTAGCGGCAGAGGAACTAACTGCGCGGCACTCCATGGTGGATAGGGACGACGTGATACTCGACAAGAGGTCCAAGTCCACCTCTTTTAAACCAGCAGACGAAATAGT